AAATACTCATGAAAGAAATTGAAGACACAAAGAAATGGAAAAAAGTTCCATGCTCATGGATTGGAAGAACAAATATTGTGATAATGTCTATGCTACTTCAAAGAAATAGAACAAATAATCCTAAATTTATATGGAACCAGAAAAGTGCCCAAATAGCCAGAGAAATGTTGAAAAAGAAAAGCAAAGCTGGCGGCATCACAATTCCAGACTTCAAGCTCTATTACAAAGCTATAATCATCAAGACAGTATGGTACTGGCACAAAAACAGACACATAGATCAATGGAACAGAATAGGGAGTCCAGAAATGGACTCTATGGTCAACTAATCTTTGACAAAGCAGGATAAAATGTCCAATGGATAAAAGACAGTCTCTTCAACAAATGGTGTTGGGCATATTGGACAGCCACATGCAGAAGAATGAAACTGGACCATTTCCTTACATCACACACAAAAATAGATGCAAAATGGATGAAAGACCTAAATGTGAGACAGGAATCCATCAAAATACTTGAGGAGGACACAGGCAGCAACCTCTTCGACCTCAGCCGCAGCAGCTTTTTCCTAGAAACATCGCCAAAGGCAAGGGAAGCAAGTGCAGAAATGAACTACTGGTACTTCATCAAGATAAAAAGTTTTTACACAGCAAAGGAAACAGTCAACAAAACTGAGAGACAACCGACAGAATGGGAGAAGATATTTGCAAATCACGTACCAGATAAAGGGCTAGTATCCAAAATCTATAAAGAACTTATCAAACTCAACGCCCAGAGAACAAATAATCAAATCAAGAAATGGGCAGAAGACATGAACAGACATTTCTGCAAAGAAGACATCCAAATGGGGACGCCTGGGTGGCTCAGTCGGTTAAGCATCTGCCTTCGGCTCAGGACATGACCAGGGTCCTGGGATCAAGTCCCACATCGGGCTCCTTGATCAGCTGGAAGCCTGCTTCTCTCCCTCTGCCTGCTACTCCCCCTACTTGTGCTTGCTCTCTCCCTCTCTCTCTATCTCTCTGACAAATAAATAAAATCTTTAAGAAAAAAGACATCCAAATGGCCAACAGACACATGAAAAAGTGCTCGACGTCACTTGGCATCAGGGAAATACAAATCAAAACCTCAATGAGATACCACCTCACACCAGTCAGAATGGCTAAAATTAACAAGTCAGGAAAACAACAGATGTTGGCAAGGATGCAGAGAAAGGGGAACCCTCCTACACTGTTGGTGGGAACGCAAGCTGGTGCAGCCACTCTGGAAAACAGTATGGAGGTTCCTCAAAAAGTTGAAAATAGAGCTACCCTACGACCCAGCAACTGCACTGCTGGGTATTTACCCCAAAGATACAAATGTAGTGATCTGAAGGGGCACCTGCATCCCAATGTTTATAGCAGCAATGTCCACAATAGCCAAACTATGGAAAGAGCCCAGATGTCCATCAAGAGATGAATGGATAAAGAAGTGGTATATATACACAATGGAATATTATGCAGTCATCAAAAAACGAAATCTTGCCATCTCCAACGATGTGGTTATATCTAAAGGGTATTATGCTGAGCGAAATAAGTCAATCAGAGAAAGACAAGTATCATATGATCTCACTGATATGAGGAATTTGAGAAACAAGACCAAGGATCATAGGGGAAGGGAGGGAAAAATGAAATAAGACAAAATCAGAGAGGGAGACAAACAATAAGAAACTCAATCTCAGGAAACAAACTGAGGGTTGCTGGAGTGCAGGGGGGTGGGAGGGATGGGGTGGCTGGGTGATAGACATTGGGGAGGGTATGTGCTATGGTGAGCACTGTGAATTGTGTAAGACTGATGAATCACAGACCTGTACCCCTGAAACAAATAATACATTACATGTTAATAAAATAAATAAATAAATAAAATTTTAAAAAAATCTTAAATGCTGAAATACACAAAATCCTTTACGGTAAGCCTCCTCTCATGTATGCCCATAATTCCTGTTTTACAGATAATAAAAGGCTTAAATGAGTGAAAAATTGTGCCCAGTATTTCATAGCCAGACACTGGAGAAGTGGGATTTGAACAGAACCAGTCAAACTCCAGAGTCCACACGCTGAACCACTGTGCCTTCGGCCACTCCAGCTTAGTCCACATAAGGAGCTGAAACTCACCTAAGGATTGCAGAGATTCTTACCACACATGCGCTAGGCCCAAACCCTCATCTATCCATATCTACCAGCATTTACAACCATTACTAAGTGGCAATCGGAGGCATCCATCCACATTTTAGGAAATTCCAGCAGGGTCACAAATTTTTTAAACTGTGCCATGGGTCATGCTGTCCTATCCAGGTCCAGGTCATCCCTCAGAGCCCAGATCAAGCCCTACTTAGTGAGAAAAGCCTGCTCCCACCAGCCCAGCTTCCAGGGATCGTCCTTTCTGATCAGTCCAACTACTCACCACCTGATGACAAAATGTCATATTTTCTTGCATCTTCTATTGTCTTTTCTTTTCCCCGAAACATGACCCTAAGCTCCTTAGTAACTGGAGATTTTGTCTTCTAACTATTCTTCACACCACTGATAGTCAATATATACTTGACCTCCACACTTGATTTTTAGTATCTGAGACCTGTAGAATGAGTAATCTCTAAAGGACCACATACTATTCCTAATGCTTTGGCAAATATATGAAGGACTAATTAAAACTGGTTTAAAAGCACTTGCTTTGACAATCAATTTGTGTTCCTATGACAAATGCATTTATCTCTGCAACGTTTACCGAAGCAAGAATGCCAACCGCTTCCCTCAATGTTTTCCTTAGATAATTTCAATTGAGCCAAGATTTAAGAATCTACTAAGAATAAGCACTACAGTGACAGAGGACAAAGAAGCTTCATCTCGTGGGACAATTCTGATCCATGAGCAGAAGGTGCCTTTGAGGCCTTTTGTTGACGAATCATCAGAGACATCGTTTGAGTAATCAGTAATGTCTGCCACTGATGAGGAAACACACGTAATCCACTTGCCATTTAAGGAAAGGCACTGCCTTTCTAATATAGTAACAACTTGATTCTCTTAATATTTAAACAGAGGAGAGAATCGTTGTATAAGGAAATGGAGTTGGACTGTGTCACCTGTACTCTTGGCCTGCAAGACGCACCTTCTCCATGGGAACCATTGGCCTGGCTACCATCTTGCTTTGCCTGCCCCTGCAGTATTCCGCTGCTCCGCCCTCTAGCTGCTGTGTATCTTGTTTCTGCAGAAATGCTGTCAGGTACGACATGGTATCCAAGGCTATGGTAGATACTATACTTCTAAATTCCACTCCTCATACTCTGTCCTCAGGCTCATGGCCCCCCTTAGTCCAAAACAGGACCTTGATTATTCACAGAGCTTATCTTTTCTGTTGAGACTGTTTCCACTCCCAGTGAACTCCAATTTATACCCGCTAAGCAACCATACAAGCAACTGCAACTCCAGCAACGTACCAGGGCTTCCGTTCCGTTGTACGGCGTCAAAGTGAAAGCATTTGCAAAAAAGCGAAGCTGAGGAAAAGAAAAGAACCGTCATTTTGTGGCGCTGTAGAACAGAGTCACAAAAGCATTATTCATTTATATACTAAAAAAGATAATCTGCATTTCTCATCAGAGAACATTTTTTAAGTACCGAAAACTAAAGAAGTCTAAAAAGGAAATATCACTTAATCTCCATCACTCTGAGCCAACCACTTTTAACATGGAGGCATAATTCCTTCTCATCTTTTTCTTATACCTGCCATCATGGAGGGACATTTTTTGCAGAGCTCTGCGAGAGAGAAACATTCCCTGTAAGTAGCATTTTCTAATGGGGAAGGAACACTGGTCCTGCAAGACGCGCAAAACACAAAACAAAAGAAACAAGCAAAAACATGGTTCCGTGGCCATACAGTGCACAACCATCCCCTTCTTGGGAACTTTTAATGCATATGACCACATTGAGAGCTCGGAGAAATCTAGTTTAATATCACTTAACACAGGTTTCTCAAAATTATGTCATCCTAGAACTCCCGGGAGCTATGGTGCATGATCAAAGACACCGCTGCTGGCAGAGAAGGGGACATGCAGATGGCGAGGCAGGGGGTAGCAGGGTGTACAAAGCAAAGGTTGGACACTAAGGAACTTCAAAAACCTCAAACGAAATGAAACTCTGCCACCTTCTGGTTCAACTTCTTAAATCAGTTCCCAACCCTTAAACACACCCTTCTGGTCCCGGGTCGAAGAGCTGAAGTAAGTGTTCATCACTTACCAGCCATATGATGGGCAGCAGGACTGTCCACACCCAGGGAGGGAGAATTCCACAGGTCATACTGGTCACCATTGTGCCTGGGCACACCACGCTGGAATACAGACCCTGGGAGCACAGGCAGGAGCCAAAGTAAGATTCAAATTCAGTGGATTCGATGCAGCCCATCCACGGGCTTGTGAATAAAGGAGATAGGCAAATGAATCAGGGAGCCGGGGCATGAAGGATTTATGCTCTGAGCTGCCCCTGAAGCCTGGGGCAAACCATTTCAGTGAAAGAATCATGTCCGGAGGACTCACGAGGAGAGGCGCTCAGGATGCAAAGGTGAGTAAGACAAGGTCTCTGTTCTCCAGAAACTCACAGAACAAAGAATAACCCAGCTTGGGGCTGGAAGAGAAAAGTAGGATCTGGTTACTGGAGTTTGCCAAGTATTGGCTTAATTGAAGATCGGTTTATCGATCATAATAAGCACTTCAGATAAAAAAGACACCTACAATACAGTCTCTGCCTTCAAGAAGTTTCTGGTCTAGTAGAGAACAGACAGCTAAACCTAAAGTTTGTGTCCGCTCCCCTGCAGGTACATAAGCTGCACACTTGTAGCTTGAGGAGGGAGCTCCTGTTATGAGAGGTGAATGAAGGGCTGCATGTGGTTCCACAAAGCACCTCCCCCAACTAAAGAGTTCTACATCAGGTCCTTAGCCTGGGACCTGTCATTTTAGAAAGATCTGCCCTTGAAACAGAGCCCAATTAACACAGAGCGTGTGCTACCAGGAAGGGCCCTGTGTGGGCTTTACTAATCCTTGGAGCACTGGGATTGGTTTTACTAGTTGACTTAATTCAATTTTTACTACATCTTACCTTATGTAGCTATTGACCATTTTAACTCTAATTTTTATTAATTTTATTTTTTCTTTCAAATGAAAATAGGAAGTACCAGTATAACCCAAACAGTTCAGTGGGCAGAAAGCACCCCGAGCAAGAGCAGCTGGAGGATTTTCTTCCTTTACTCAGGGCTGCAGAGGCTCCGTGGCACCTGACAGAATATCCAATCCCTGGAGGTCCCCTTGATTTACCAAAGGTCCTCTGAAAAGAAGTAAGAGCCTGGACTCATCAGAGACCAAAACTTCTCCCCAGGAGAGTAACACATTTTCCCCCAGCGATAGCTAAGGAAGATTTCTTATTCTGGGAGCTAGCTAGGAACAGTTAGGGACCCTTCAGTCCTAAATAAAGACATCTGTGAACTGAAATCCTGGGTCTCTGACCCCTGTAATGTTCTGATGTTGAGCGACAAAAGAAACAAACAAGGAGGCAGCCTCATCTGAGAACCCAGTCCCCCTACACGTCACAAGGATCAGCTGTGACAACCTGACTGTTGTTATGAGACGTGGGTGAGAGGTGATGACTAAACTCTAGCAGGTGGCCCCATGGGCCAACAGCATTCCCGGTGATACAAGCCTTCAAGAGGATGTCGTTCCCCCTTCCTAAAAGCCAAGGAGGAAAAGCCGCGGGCTGAAAACCAATCATACAGATTTTAGGAGACAGCAGTATTAGCTAAATCTCTCTTTCTTGTAAAAGATGAAATCCCAAAGCTTCCTTGACGATTAAAACTTAAGTGAAATCCCAGAACATGTTATGAAAAGAGAAGCTAATCCACTCTGACCTTGTCCCCAAAAGGAAGCTTCCGGAGCACAAGCAGTCGTGACAACTTTACAAACATCTGAAGAAACCTCAGAAGGAGGCTAACCACTGGACCAACACACTGAACTCAAATAATAATAGTAATAATAATCGTAACGATGATGATAGCCAACATAAACACACACAGGCACATGTACATGCGTGTAAACCACACGCCTCCCTTACACACAAGACACCCATACACGCGCACATACCACATGGACAATCATAGCACACACATATACACACACCCGCAAACCCAACGTGTGCACATGGATAGACCCTCCCCCCACTCACTGACACCCACATGTGCACGCATGTGCAGACACAGACGCGCACACGCACATTCCGAGACTAGTAGCTACTGTGAATGCTTCACACCATCCCTCTCATTCAACCCTCCCAACAAATCTGTGAAGCAGGCACTATTTTTATCCCTATTTTTCAGATGAGGAAACTGAGGCATCGGGAGATGAAATAATCTGTCCAAGCATTCAAATCCAGTTCTAGGAGATGCTCTCAGCTTCTACGCCTAGACCATCCTCTTTCCTAAGAGACAGGGTTCCAGGAGAGAGAGTTCTATCTGACAGATAGGTTAAACCCACTCGAGGTCATCATAGGAGGCTCTGACTGTGTCTGATGCATCACCAGAGAAGGTCCTGCAAGGGCAGAAAGTTTCTTGGTCACCTGTTTCTTTCTGCTTTCTCCTCAGTCCTAGGCCTGGCCCAGTGCCCTAAACATGGTAGGTCTTCTGTAAATATTAGTGGAATTAAATTTCTCCACAGCCCCACACTCAAACAGCAGAGTCAAAGCAAACAAAGGAAAATGCCATGGGAAAGACTGGAGATTTTCAGTGAAGGTTTTAGACCTGAGCAGGAAAGACATCCAGGGAGCAGTAAGCTCCAGATCAGAGGCCACAATGAGCCTGGCAAGGGCTGCTTTCTCCAAAGAAACACCCCCAAAACCCAGAGTCCTCAGAGAGACAGAGCTCTGGAGTCTCACCAAAGATCACCACTATCCAGAAGGCTTTGTAACTACTGAAGGTCCTATAGCATCTGATATGAAAAACCCTGGGACACAGCGTGGTTTAGCGTGAAAATTCCAACCTATAGTCAAACAGCCCCAGGCTCAACTCTGAGCTCGACCATTAATAGTCGTATGACTGGGTAAATCACCTAACCTCTCCAAACTGTGGTGTCCTCACATGAAAATGGGAATACTCAGGCCTACACTCAGTGTGATGGGAAAGGCACTGAATGCCATACACAGGTAAGGAGTACAGCACCTCAAGTACGTGCTTTGTTAAGCTGAGCCAGGCCTCACCCGCGGCCGTTCCCGCGCCACCGAGCCAGGCCTCACCCGTGGGTTGAAGTTCCGGTTCAGCGCCACACTCAGTAGGTCAATTGCGTATTTGGAGGAGCTGTAGGGCTCCTGACCTCTGCTGTGCTGGATGTCCTCAAGGTGGAAATTAGATTTCCTTGCATTGCGAGATGATGTCCAGATGAGCCGGGAAGGACTGTCGCTGTGACAGAGGAGAGCTTCCAGTTCCTGAACCTGATAAAAAAGCAACAAAATGGATCAACATCTACTGGAGGAGTACAGGATAACAGCTGTGAAGCCACTGTAAGCGTACCGTGGAGCTGAACAGGAATGTCACTGCGGGAGGGGCTACTCCAGACACGCGAGAGAGGAGGCTTGAATGACCCCTGCGCATTGGGGTTAGAGTTAGAGACATCGGTATGAACAGACGTTTAGCTTCATAAAAACAGAGATGGTTACATATAAAAATACTTATAGGTACTTACATATACAGGGGTTACCATGCACGTGTATCTCCCTGCTCTGTTAGCCTAGAAGCTACTGATCCATCAGTAGCAGCAAGCACCAGATCTTGGTTTCTAATACCATTGTCTAACAAGAGGAACCAGATCTTGGGACGCCTGGGTGGCTCAGTCAGTGAAGCATCTGACTCTTGATTTTGGCTCAGGTCATGATCTCAGGGTCCTGGGATGGAGGCCCATGACAGGTTCCACGCTCAGCGGAGAGTCTGCTTGAGGATTCTCTCCCTCTGTTCCTCTCCCTGCTCAAGCTCTCTCTCTCTCTCTCTCTAAAATAAGTTAATAAATCTTAAAAAAAAAAAAAAAAAGTAGAACCAGATCTCCTTAGGGAAATGGCTGATTCTAAGACTGGGGCAGGAAATATAGCCAATGAGCCTGAACCATCTCGTAGTGCCAGAAAGAACATGCTCAAAACAGAAAACCACACCAATGAGGCTACATCAGAGATATGCAGGATCCAATGCAAAGAGCCCCCAGTGGCCCAAATTGGAATAATTTGGGCAAGAAAATAAAGTAGTATTTCCAACTCAAAGTAGAAAATACATATCCAGAAGCCCATAGGAATATAAGTGATTTTCGCAGCTTTATTGAGATACACTTGACCAAGAAATGACTGAGTAAAGCATTAGATAGAGAACAGACAAATCTCTCTTGCAGAAAAGTTCCAAATAATTTATGTAGCTAATCGACCCTTTGGGGCGTCAAACACAACCCCTTAAGTGCGAGCTATACATAGTAAGTCTCTTCCAAAGAGTACAATATGGAAAGGGAGAGAAAAACAAAAAGAGAGACTTCACGATGAAAAAACCTGACAAACACAAGCTGGGAGATCAGAGAGAACGTCAATGCTGACAAGTCACAGTGACATTTCATGTGATGTGATGTGATGAGAATGGTCTTCACCTCTGTGGTCCTCCTCCCGCAAACACGTTACTCAAGTCTAACCATGAGAAACATTTCAGACAAATCCCAACTGAGGAAAAATACCTCAGCTGGAATCCTCAAAACTGTCAAGATCATGAAAAACAAGGGAAATCTGAGAAACTGTCACAGCCAAGGGGAGCCTGAGGAGACAGCTACTAAATGTACTGTGGTGTCCAAGAAAGGGTCCTAGAACTGACAAGGGGACATTAGGCAGAATGGAAGAAAGCTGAATAAAGTTTGGACTTCCATTAATAATAAGGTATCAGTATTGGTTCTCCTACTGTGACAAATAGTAGTAGTAGAGAAAACTGAGGGGGGCGGGGAACACAGGAACTCTCTGTACTAGCTGTGCAGTAATTCTGTAAGTCTAAAACTATTCTAAAACAAAAATTGTGTTAAAGAAAAACCTAGGAAAGCTTCCAGATGCGCTCCACGTTTGCAATGAATAAACAAGTCAAATGCAATCAAGATAACTCATACATACGAGATTAAATCAGTTAACTGGTTCCTGGACTGTAATACTATGCTGTGCTTGGAACTTCACGGAAATTACCTCTACTCTTTGTAACAATGATAAAAGTTTGGTCACGTTACAGATAATCAAACTGGGGATGGATGATCCATTTATACAACGCATTTACACCTGAACCTAGAATCCGAGTTTGTGTTCTAGAAGAAGTGGTAAGATTCTTAAACCTAATCTGTAACCCTCTGATGACTTTATTAGATAAATCCATTCCAAAACCCCTCCTGATATGCCTCCCTATATAAGGATACACAAGGATAGGTCATGTCATCAGGACACCTATGATCATCATGCCCATGGCCATGACTCTCTGCCATTCCCCCAACACAGATGACCCAAATACCTGATCTTCTGAACAACTTAATTTTTATTTTATTTTTTTGAAGATTTTATTTATTTGTCAGAGAAAGAGAGGGAGAAAGAAAGAGACCACAAGCAGGGCGAGCAGCAGAGGGAGAAGCAGACTCCCCACTGAGCAGGGAGCCTGATGCGGGACTCGATCCTAGGACCCTGAGATCAAGACCAGAACCGAAGGCAGATGCTTAACTGATGAGCCATCCAGGCGTCCCACAACCTAATTTTTAAACACTAGATTTATCAAAAACTTAACAGACTAGTGATAATTATCTTCTATCATTACCAATTAATTTAATAATTCAAAAAGAAAGCAAAGAACGAGTATTATAAAAAGATAAAGGAAATATTAGATAAAGGATCTGTGTAAAGGTATAAAGAAAGACCAGACAAGAATTCAATCCCATTCTAACTTTACATTTTAATTAACTTTTGTCATTGAAAAAGTGACACCGCATCACATGAAGTGAATAGCACTAGAGGTTAGAGAATGAAACATGAAGCTCCCCCTCATCCCTGATAGCCTGGCACCCCAGTTCATCAAGGCCTAAAACTGCTCCCTATTTTATCTGCATCATTCTAGAAATATTAAATACATTTATATACACTACGTAGAGATGGATTTTCTTCTGTTTCTACAAATGAGCTCACGCTATACATACAGGCCCCTGCTATTTCTTCTTCATAATAAAATATGAGAGGCTGTCCCACATAAGTGCAAAACATTTATCTCATTTCTTTTAGTGGGTCCACAATATCCCAACATTTGCCTACATCTTCATTTACTGTAAAGACAGGCGAGTGCTCAAAGAGTTCCAATGTTAAGGGAAATGGGGCTGAAGGTGAAGAAGAGTGGCAGTGAATAGAGAGGCGTCAGAAATACAGGCTCTGTGCAGGCCAACCCGGCATCGGGGTTCCTCCAACACCGGGGAATGACAGGCCACCAGCGACACAGTCGGGCATTACTTAATCTAGACAGTAGAGCTGTCCCCTGGGATTACGCCTGAGCAAGAGCGCAGAACAGGCGAGACAAGCTACACGTCTCTTGCTTACATGTATATGTGTGCCTGGAACCATAACACACTGTATAGATGCGAAGAATCAGAAATCAAGATAATAAGAGACTAATTATGGATTCTTGTTTAACAGTGGCTTGCCCACTCCCCTACCCTATCTGGCACCAAGCCCAGTTTCAAAGACCGTTCAGAACAGGACCGGTACACTTCCCCACAGTTTGTACATTGTTTCTGAAGGCACCTGTGTGTTTCTTTCTCACTTTGTCTCTGCTCTCTAGAATTGACATCAAAAGAAAAAAAAGAAAATATATCAATCAAATGCTTTAGGGAAGCAATGTTTTCACAGAGTGCAGTGATCACCCCATTTAAATACTCAAGGATTTCATGCTAGCCATAAATTAATGAGCTTAACAAACAGGCCTGGGACATGTCCAAGCCAGCCTTTAGGATTCCAGCACTAATATGAGCTTCTTGAGCCCAGTCCTCTTACCAGAATAAAGTGGCCAAAGACATTGGTTTCAAACACCTCCTGGAACCCATCAGCAGTGACTTTATCTTCCTGGGTCAGCAATCCTTCAGCTGTGGAGAACATATGAATCACTTTTCTGAAACAGGAGAAGACAATTGTATGCCTTTTAAAAGGAATAAAAATACTCGAAAACTCTCCCTGCCACCCTCCCCAGCCCAAAACTACATTTTCCTTGATCCTATAAAAATACCTATTTCTCAGACTGTTATTGTGTGTATATAAATAAGATGCAAAAATTCTTCCTTTCCCCCAATTCAGAGAAGTATTTATATTATAACTCATACTACCCATTGGACCTGACTCAAAAAAATCTGCTGCTAAAACTCCACTTTTTTTCCACATCAGGTTGCAGGTGAACTTCTCTGGGGAAATAAGAGCGGTGCGAAAGGAGAAGTCTTCCCCTGCACAAAATGATGGTTAACTGCCCAAGTTACACAGGTTGGTTTTTTACTGGGAATTCTTAAAGCACTGAACACATTAACACGGTGATTTGCTGTGAGATCCATTTACTAGGTCAAGACCTGTGTGTGTGTGTGTGTGTGTGTGTGTAATGGAAGAGAAGTAAAACAAAAGTAGCAATGTACGAAGAATGCCCTAAGTATGTAAGTCACAAGATAAGATTTATTTCTCACTGTAGGTTGTGATCAAACATTTTTGGAAGCCACTGTGCTACTGTGTGTTGAGAATCTCCTGGGGAGACCTTTGGTCCTTTGCATTTCCCAGCTCTGTGGCAGGTACTCTGCCCCAGAGGCAGGGGAAATGCATCCAAAGCAGCTTTGGTACTGACAACTCTGCCAGATTCTGAGATGTTCTTTCTACTAGACACATCCCGGCAGACCAAACATGGACCTTCCGAAGCCTCTAGCCACTTGGGATGTCCTGGAGACCTAGAGCACCCATTCCCTGCAACACTTCCTGTCTTTATTCTTCTCAGCCGCCCCTCAGCCCCCTAACTTAACCTACTGAGGGAAAAACCAGGCAAAAACAAACAAACAAACAACTGATCCCTTTCACTCAGTTCATCTAGAAAATGGACATTACCTTGAAAAGAGGCCAGAGAAAAGTGCTTTGATATTCAGCTGTGGATTGGGCATGATCCCAGCATTCAGATAGACATAGTCTAATCTCTGAAACCTGCAAGGAAAACACCAAGACAAGATTGTTCATCTTCTCCAGAGCAACTGGAATAAAGAAAGCCTACAAAGGACAGAAAATGCTTTCCGAAGGGGACGTATGACACATCAGAGTTACACCACTTCTTTCTCAACGCTGTTCCTTCAGCCACAGTAAATATTTGAGTATTCTTTTTTTTTGACAGCTGCTTCAAACAGAATTTGGGGAGCTATAATGGGCTTTGAAGTTAAATCTTTTCAGATCAAGACTCCTTCTAGCTTTGTCCTCCCAATTGGGAACTGCAGGTGGTAACCCTCTGCCTATTAAATCCACTCTCCATCTGGTCTTAGAAAGTTGTCTACTTTTTTTTTTTTTAAGAGTCACATCTTCCCTATCGATAAGTAAAATTTATATAATATTAGTAATCACCCAATCTGAGCCATCAATGCTGGAACCTGAATGCCAGTATATCTACTAAAGCAACCAATCCATGTGGAAACCACTCACTGTTCGTGGCCAGGGGCTCTGTATCATAAAATGATGAAAGCTGACAAGAATACAATCACATGACAGAAGCTGAATGGGGGTATAGTACTCTTGGAAAGCTCCTTTCAGGACACCTGTCATAGAGAGAACAGTGACATGCTGACTTGAGAGAGCTTTTTCATTTTTAAACCTCTGTAGGCCTTAATCTAGTGTACTCTTCTTGAACAAGGGCCAAGCCTGCCCTCATGATACTCACAGGCACCATGAATATTCATAATATCTCCTACAATTCTATGCATTACACTATCTCCGTGCCCCCTTCTGTATAGTCCAAGACAATACGGGCCATAGCTACCTTAAAATACACCCACGTTACCAATACAGATGGCACACAAACATTTCTTTATCATTCTATAAGTAATTACCAGCCAAATGACTCTAATTACTAAACTTTCTGTTTAAAATGCTGATGTGGATACTACTGGGCCATCCGTGTAAGCACCATAAAGTCATGTGGACCCATCTATTTTTTTCTTTATTTAAATTCAATTTAGTTAACATATAGTGAATTATTAGTTTCAGGGGTAGAATTAGTGATTCATCAGTCTTATATAACACCCAGTGCTCATTACATCATGTGCCCTCCTTAATGCCCATCACCCAGTTACCCCATCCCCCCACCGACCTCCCCTCCAACAACCCTCAGTTTGTTTCGTAGAGTTAAGAATCTCTTATGGTTTGCCTCCCTCTCTGTTTTCATCTTTATTTTTTCTTCCCTTCCCCTAGGTTCCTTTGTTTTGTTTCTTAAATTCCACATAGGAGTGAAATCATATGGTATTTCTCTTTCTCTGACTGACTTATTTCGCTCAGCATAATACCCTCTAGTTCCATCCACATCATTGCAAATGGCAATTCCATTCTTTCTGATGGCTGAGTAATATTCCATTGTGTGTGTGTGTGTGTATTCTTTATTCGTCTGTCAGTGGAAATCTGGGCTCTTTATTCGTCTATCAGTGGAAATCTGGGCTCTTCCCACAGTTTGGCCATTATGGACATTGCTGCTATAAACATTGGGGTGCAGGTGCCTCTTTGAATCACTATGTTTGTATCCTTTGGATAAATACCTAGTAATGCAATTGCTGGGTCATAGGGCAGCTCTATTTTCAATTTCTTGAGGAACCTCCATACTGTTTTCCAGAGTGGCTGCACCAGCTTGCCTTCCCACCAACAGTGTAGGAGGGTTCCCGTTCTCGGCATCCTTGTCAACAACTGTCATTTCCTGAGTTGTTGATTTTAGCCATTCTGACCAGTGTGAGGTGGGATCCCATTGTGGTTCTGATCTGTATTTCCCTGATGCACGTGGGCCCATCAATTGTTGGTTGTTCCATTATCTAATGTGCAAACTGCCATCTAAGAATATTAACAAATTTTGCTCGAAGTGGAAAGGCAAGGCTCAGCAAAGAGTGGAAAGAGCAGCAGAACACCAAATTCAGGTCTGCCCTCAGCAAAACGGCATATTTACTACTCTCAAAGATTAAATGATCGACACAACTGCACTCTTCCAGATAAAGCAGAACTGCAATTTCTCACTAGTTTTTCCTCTGCACACAGCGTACAGAAGAGAGGCACACAGCCAGAAAGCCCAGATGTCAGGAATGGTGCTGTGTTAGCCAACAGAAGGGCCCTTCCCAAGCTCTCTTCAGTTGTAATTTACTTCGGGTCTACAATCGCAGACCATCACTCGGGCCATTAAGGGCGGGAGAGTCTCGACATAAAGCAATAGATGTATGTGGACATCGGCACACATTCCCACATCTGTGAATATCACTATAACTAGCATTTGCTAGGTCTGGAGGAGAGCATTCATCCCAACAGGAGCGCTTCCGCGGATGAAATGAACACACAGAAGCTGCACTGAAATGCTGATGGCAGGTGCGCCTTACCTCCATGCTCCCTCCCACCTTATAGCCCTGCTGCCTCAAGTTCCTGCTAAGTGACCTAATATCATGAATGTTACAACCTAAAATCTCGAAAGTCGCTGTACTGGAAAGGGCTATTCTTTTTTTTTTTTTTTAATTCAATTAATTAACATATAGTGTATTATTAGTTTCAGAGGTAGAGGTCAGTGATTCCTCAGTTGTATGTAATACCCAGTGCTCGTTAACATCACGTGCCCTCCTTAATGTCCATCACCCAGTTACCCCATCCCCCCACCCCCACCCCTCCAGCAACCCTCTTTGTTTCCTATGCTTACGAGTCTCTTACGGTTTGCCTCACTCTCTGATTTCATCTTGTTTTATTTTTTCCTCTCTTCCCCTATGATACTGTTTTGTTTCTTAAATTCCACATGAGTGAGATCATATAATTGTCTTTCTCTGATTGACTTAGTTCGCTTAGCATAATACCCTCCAGTTCCATCCACATCGTTGCAGATGGCAAGATTTCATTCTTTTTGATGGCTGAGTAGTATTCCATTGCATGCACATATACATATATATATATATATATATGTATATATATATATAGACACATACCACATCTTCTTTATCCATTCATTTGTCAGTGGACATCTGGGCTCTTTCCAGAGTTTAGCTATCGTGGACATTGCTGCCATAAATACCGGTGTGGAGTTATTAGAAAATGTATTGTCAGCCCTCAGGGGTGACTACGGAAACAGCTGAAACATCAGCAGCGTTCCTGGTCTTGGGCTATTGAACACAATAGCCTGGTACGAACAGGAACCCATGATCTCCTGGGGAAGGGCACAGGTTAAGAACTAGGAAAGAATGTAAGCCTCAGTCCCCCTTCCTGCCTCGGGTGACGGCTAGCACAAACATCCTGCTTCTCCCTTATCCCGTGACTGCCTTCCTACGTGCCTGCTTGTAGGGGAGGGTGCAGGCGTACCTCACGTCTTCAAGATAACTGCCCTTCCTTTGTACTCCTTTCCCAAGCTTTGAGGCATCTGTCCTTGCTTTTCTGACAAAACAAAACAAAAGCTACATGTAGAATTCAGCTGCTGCCCCCTCACAGAGGCAGGTCCTGCCCGTCCGCCCGGATCATTGTCTGAGAACTTTATTTCAGTGCATGATGACAACTCGGGCGAGGGGCCCCTTTGGATCACTACATCTGTATCTTTGGGGTAGATACCCAGTAGTGCAATTGCTGGGTCGTAGGTTAGCTCTATTTTCAGCTTTCTGAGGGACCTCTGTACTGTTTTCCAGAGTGGCTGCACCAGCTTGCGTTCCTACCAACAGTGTAGGAGGGTCCCCTTTCTCCATATCCTCACCAACATCTGTCATTTCCTGACTTGTTAATTTTAGCCACTCTGACTGGTGTGAGGTGGTATCTCATTGAGGTTTTGATTTGGATTTCCCTGATGCCGCGCGATGTGGAGCATTTTTTCATGTGTCTGTTGGCCTGGGATGTGCTATTCTTGACTGAGGATGAAAGTTCTTTTCTGCTAAGTGAGGAAATATAACTAAATCTATACAAAACAGAAAGACAGCTGGCTGAGAAGGTTCGGGGAAAGGAATGCCTGAAATCACCTGATTTGAGCTCAAAACTTCCATACTGACTGTAGGGTCTTTAACTCAGTAAGGACGGTTACTGTGCAGCTTCACAGACTTGGAAACTCAAAGTTATAGAAGAGAAGGGGATATGGAACCTAGAAAATCTCCTCGGTGTTTGAGAAAGACGATGTAGCAGAAAATTCTAGGAGAAATGACATTTCACAAGAGGCTAAGGCTGAAACTAGAAGAGCGGGGTGAGAAAACCAGCTCTACCTTTGCTTTGTAACTTGTGCATGTGCAACAGGGAAATGCAAATGGGCTAGCAATCCCCATACATAAAACAGAGTTGTATTCTTCAGCAAATGCCTTCACCAAAAAGGCCTTCTGTGTTTTTACTGTACTTCGTTTTACTGTCCAAGGAAATAAAGCAGCTCTTGTTTCTTAAGGACCTCAATTACAAAAATGTTTGAAAATTAATTATTCCCCATATCCTTAGGGCTGAGTGTGGACTAGTGTGGGGCTCCTGACCTTTTTGGACCATAAATTCCTCCTAGAATTAAAAAAAAAAAAAAAAAAAAGCATGCCTCCTTCCCCCAGAAAAAATGCATTGTGCACCTATATGCAATTTTGTGCACTTTCTAGGGAGTCATACGTCCAAGGACTCTATTCCTTCCTACACCAAATATTTCTCAAATGCCTATTACTTGCCAATTACCATGCAGATGTGAACAAATCTTTTTCCCTCCTGTGGCGGGAAAAAAATCTCTGAAGAAATAGGGTGCAGATGTGGGTTCTCAGACCAACCCAAACAATAACAAGTCCTAGACACCTGTCCAACCTACTTCACGAAGTTGTTACACCGAGGAAAGATGCAAAAACTGTATTCAGAAGGGAGTTACCATCATGTCCACACAACTAATCACACATCAAGGTGTATTCAAATTAATCCTCATGAAATCATCGCGATTATGACTGAGCAAGAAAATGTGCTCCTGGGACACCACGGGTCACTCTGTACGGATCTCCTCAGCGAAACTTCTTACACTGCACCTGGTATAAGATGTTTAGGTTTTCCTCTCCTTTCTTATTTCATTCACTGCTGTCTCATGCAGTCGCGTGAGAGAAAACCCGTCAACAAGAGGCATACCTTTGCTTGAGCTCCCTGGCGGCCCGGATGACTGACTGGAGGTTGCTGACATCCACCTGCACGACGCTGACCTCGGCGGCGGGGTGAGCGGCCAGCAGCGCCGCGCGGACAGCCTCCGCTTTGCCCACGTTCCTGCACGCCAAACACACGTGCAGCTCATCGTCTTCCTCCAGCAGCCGCTTGCAGAGCGCGAGGCCAACGCCACTGTGAGGACAATTCGGAGACAGAACATGCGTTCATTCAGATGGCGCCAAATAGGAGGCATTGCTCTCTGGTCCAGAAAACCGCCGTTGTCAACATGAGCTGCCATGAGGAGCCCAGGCAGAGGAAAGAAGAGTCAAACATTATTCAAGGAAGAAGGGACCCCCCCCCCAACTTGAATAGTCAGTCACTCGCCCAGGAGGCTGTCCAGTTTGCTTCGGAGAGCACATGAGCGCTGTCTTTTCATCGGGCGGTTTGCATTTTGTACTTGTTACAACACTCCTGAAAGGGAGTCAGTACGTCACCAGCAAGAGCCGAAACGAGCATCGCATTAGCCGTTTCCTGCGTGCATGTTTTACTTTGCTGTCTAGGTTCCTCAAGGGCAAGAGCTCTACTACCTGTTGGTATCGCTGCCACCATCCGGAGCACAAGCAATTCCCAATAAGGAATGGGTGAATCTTACAGTAACACAGCAGGAGGCAAGTCCCTCTCAACTACTATGATCGAATAACAGGAAGAGAAAAAACTCAACATGATTAAGCAGCAGGTAGGAAGAGGAAACATAAGATGGGCACCAGGTAAGAGCAGGCAGATGAGGGCACAAGACAAAGACAGATAAACGACTTCAGAAATGGCATTTGAAACCACACAGTAAATGAGGACACCACTCAGACCAGCTGGGCTGAGCACAACCAAAGCCTGGGCCTTGCCAACAGAGCATCAAATATATTTACCTTTATTCCTCCTCACTTGAGGATAGTAGGTCTTTACAATAAATATCCAAGTGCATACGTCACAATATACGTTAAAAAAAAGAAACACACAAACACAGCCGACTCGCCAACAGGACTTCAGCTTAGGAAGCACCCTATCAGTTGTTCAGGGCACTCACAGACGCCTGCCACGCCGGCTGAGCTCACATGGACGTGGCTAGGTAAGCGAAAGCGGCCTGATTTTAGATGACATTTGACATATCCTCTGCCTTAATCCCTCCAAACCTCCCACTGCAACCGGCAGAATGGTTTGGTTGGTGTCATCCTCCCCACATTCTTCACAGAAGTGTGGATGAGGAGTAAAAGCAGGGGACAGAAGAGGCGGAGAGTCCACATGGGCGGCCCTGGAATAATTAGGAACTGGCGGTGATGCTTATTTGCACTCCTGCCACGCCTCGCCAGGTAGAGGTTTACTTTTTTAAGAGCGTGTCTAGGTGTCTCGCTTAGTGCTGGGTGGAATGACACCTCCCCCCCCACCCCGTCCCACTGCTCATGGGTGTTGAACCTTATCTGGGGGGCAAAGCTCTGCACAGATACAACACTGGGAGCACACGACGGTCGCGACGCTAAGCGCCGGGCACCGAGGTCGACACGGACCAGCTGGAGGAGGCGGGGTCCGCGTGGGAAGCGCCCTCGTCCCGGACACCAGCAGGACCCCCGCGACGCTCCAGTTTTCCTTTCCGCCGTCACGTTCAACTCCAGCACTGGTTTATTGTGCGCCTCCAGCCGCCGGACGCCCGGAGCGGGCGCAGCGAGGACCCGGGGACCGCGGGGCAGGGGCTCGCGCGAGGTCCCACCGGGCAAGGCCGGGGACGCGTGCTCCCGGGGGCGGTCGCCTGCGGTGGCCCGGCCCTGTACTTCCCGCTCCCTGCGACTCCTGACCCGCCGCCGCCGCGGCCGCCGAGGACGCCTCACCTGCTGGCCCCGGTGACCACCACCACTTTCCGCATGGTCTCCCTCCCCACCGCCGAGCCGCGCAGGGGCCCAGCCACCGCCTCCAGAGCAGAGGAATCCAGTCGCCCGCCGCGGCCGCGCCGCCGCCGCTGTCCAATCAGAGCCCGGAGGGGCCCCCGCTCCCCTCGCGTCATCGACTCCCCGCTGGGCCCTCCAATCGCGGCCCGCCGTGCGCTCCGGGAGCCGGGGCCAGGGTGGGGTGAGGTAGGCCGAGGGGCGGGGCCGGGCCCGAGCCAATCCGGACTCTCGTCGTCCCTAGGCGGCGCAGGTGTGCGGGAGGACGCGCCGGGCTCCTTCAGCGCCTGCGGGTTGCAGGGCGGGGTGTTCCCTCAGCGGAGGACTCGGGTGCGGGATTCGTGGCACGCAGGGCCTATCATCAGCCTGCCACTTTATTGCCGGAAGGGCTCAGGATGTTTGCACAAGAACGCTTTAATTTTAGAGGCAAGATTTGGGTCTAGGAATTAAAGTTTGGGTATTATCATCTACTTTGCTTTCCACTGCTTTTTGGAAGTGTAGATCCAGGCACTGCGCCGTTTTACAGACCAGCTTCTGATCCCGGACCCGCTCTTTCTCTTTAAAAAATCATCTTTAGGGCGCCTGGGTGGCTCAGTTGGTTAAGCGACTGCCTTCGGCTCAGGTCGTGATCCTGGAGTCCCGGGATCGAGTCCCGCATCGGGCTCCCTGCTCAGCGGGGAGCCTGCTTCTCCCTCTGACCCTCCCCCCTCTCATGTGCTCTCTCTCTCTCTCTCATTCTCGTTCTCTCAAATAAATAAATAAAAAATAAAAAATAAATAAAAAATCATCTTTGGAAAAATGAACATTGATTTCATTAATTTTATGTAGACTCATGCATGAATAACCAACTTTCAAAATTTGGAACATGGTATGAATCAGAGTATCTAAGAACTTCATAGGACATTGTGAGGGTATACCGTAAGCTCCTACTTAAGTGTTTCTCAAACTCTGTGGTAAAGGACCCGTTTTGTTTTTCCAAGCCATCCCAGATGGGTACTTTTGGAAAATACAGTAACAAAGCATTATTAGAAAAATGAAATAAAAAGCGAAGGATACAAAATACAAGCCCCAATTTTTTTATTATTAGCTATAACACATAAAAGAATCTTCTGCCAAACTGCTATTAAAGTTTCTAAGGCTTACTCTAGGTTTCTCTATCGTGCATTGGTGGCAAGGTGACCATCACTAGTCTAGGTTCACACTAAGTAACTCCACACCTCATGTATGTTCTAGGGAACGTACTTTTTTTTTTTAAAGATTTTATTTATTTTTTCATGAGAGACAGAGAGAGTCAGAGGGAGAAAAAGGCTCCCAAGGAGCAGGGAGCCCGATGCGGGACTCAATCCCAGGACCCTGGGATCATGACCTGAGGCCGAAGGCAGACGCCTAACCATCTGAGCCACCCAGGTGCCCTAGGGAATGTACTTTAATCTACTTCATGGCCTCTTTCAAAGTTTCAATTATTTATGCAAAGCAGTGATCCCTCAGCAATGTGAGACTGATATAATTTATACTGGCTTTTGAAATCATAGAGGTCTTGATTAATTTGATATTGTAACAGCATTCCAGCTCGCTTCAAGTTTATGCGCTCCTTGCTTGCTAACCTAAGTCCCTGGGTCTGTAACAGAACTAACCTACTTTCCTTGCGATTGGCAGACCACTGGCCTTAAGGAGTGAAGAACCGAACTTTCCCAGAAGATAAGGTCTGACTACGTTCAAAAACAGCTGCCACGAATACCAGCAGGTCTGTTCAGGGTCATGTTGACAAACAACTAACCGCTTGGGCACCTGCTTCTCCTCCATGCAACCCTCCCTCCCCCCTTTTCCCATGCCTTCCCTTTTAAAAGCCTCCACCTTGGTCTGGATGGGGAAGATGGTCTTTGAGAAGCTAGTCCACCGTCTTCCCAGGTTGCCGGCTTTCTAAGCAACCTTTGCTTTCCCACAATCACTTGTCTCTCGAGTGTTGATTTCAAGTGGCAAGCAGCTGAACCTGAGTTCAGAACAGGTTCTCTGTCCAGGAACAATATCGGCTAGTTTAGTAATACTTTATCTTATACTAATAAAATTATATTCAGAAAACAAATCAATTATTTGAATATTAGATTCCTAAATCATTAAAACATTTTTACTGTTATCTGCGTGGAACTCAGCTCCTACCCTTATGCCACTTACAACTATTCTAAAGAGACCACGCTTTGACAATATTTTCTGGGAGTCCTAGAGTAAAATTAACCCTAATCTTTACAGTCTAGACCCAAAGGATCCTTTTTAAAGTGTCCTAGGGCTCAGAAGTGACATGTAGAAGGAATAAGAGTTGTGGGGCTGTCCTATGAAAAACTCATTCCTACAAAGAAGGGGGAGGGCCCAGGCTCTGGAGATTGAGCATCACCACAATTTTGGGATGACAGCCAGTATAGGACCCAGTGTGAGTTAAGTGAAGACAGGAAGACCAGAGCAAGAGTGGCAGTCCCCTACTAGCATGACGTCCATCCAGTCCAAGTTAGGAAACCTTGCTCTTTGCTTCCCTCTTTCAATTCAGGTTGGGCCTTTCAAGGTTCTTCAACCTTCACAGGATGGGCTGAACCACTAGAGGTGCCGGAGAGACCAGGAGAACAGAAATCTGTTGAAACAGATGGCATTGAATTTTGTATTTTAAAAATATTTAATCACATGTAGGACACCTCAGTAACGGTTATAATATATAGTTTATTGAAAGGTGAGTAAGTGTGGCTTTCATCGTCCTGAATTAGTCATCTTGAGTTTATACTGTTTATGGGGCTGTTTTCCTGGAAACCAGAAGAGGAACCTTGTACGCAACAATCCCATGTATCCCTGGCAAACCTTGGCCCCTTGAACAGAGTAGTAAATATAGCACTCCTACCTTTGACTATTTACTACCTTATAAGTAAATTTGCCTCTCCCCTAAATGCTGAAACTGATCTCTGGTTCCTTTGATGGTGCCTGAAACAGTCCTTAGGTAGACAAAGATGAGTAAAGGTACCTTTAGCACCCAGGACAGAGCTCTATTCTGGGTCCTTAGAAACCTCTCAGAACTGACTTGCCTCTTGTTAAAAACAGAGGCAAAGGAACAGCTGCTGGTGGGGCCACATAGCTCTTCTCGTGGGTCTCTCATCTGTCTCCTCTTCAAATCACTACACATTCAGCCTGGCCCAAACCTACTCTGAGAATGGGATTTTACCCATTTCACTGGATAGGAAGAGGTACCTATGTTGCTTATACATAAGGAGTTACTCCATGCGACTCAAGGACCAGAAAATAGGTGTGTAGACTTCTTTATCAAATATAAAATGAACATAAAATTCTAAGTGGCAATCAATCAGTAACAAATTACACACTCAGATCAGTGCATGGCATATAGATGCCATATCGTGTACAAATGCATATCAGGCATACCTTCCTTTAAAGTTTGACAACAGGTGTTGACAATACAATTGTATCTCTTTGAACATCTCTGCTGTTCCTGTTTACTTTTTTCTCCTTTGCCTCCAACCCCACTGCCACCGCACAGATACTTGAATCCCTGGCCTTTAGCCCTAGAATCAAACAGACACTCTGAGGGGCAGAGTGTGCCTTCGTGAATTATTATTGTCCTCTGAGGATTCTCTGAGAATTTTTATCCATTCTCTTATCTATCATAACCATTGCTGAAAAAATATGTCATTATTCAGAAAATTAAAAGGATAAATATATTCTTCAGGGACCAAGTAAGAAACATGTTTTTTTCTTTGGGGTAGGGGATTGGTTCATCTTAGTTTCTCTTACAAAGACCGCGTCTGTATTCTGGTTGTTCATAGTTTTTGTTGCTTTTTGTATGCCTGGGTGGTCTTGAGCCAGATGACATTTGGATTTAGAAGAGATTTCTATGTATCAAACAAGACCACTTTGTAACAACAACAATAAAGCATCTGCAATTAATTCTGGACTGGATTCCCCAGAACTGGACTAATGAGACAACCCAGAATCCCAATCTCTAGTATGTTTGGATGTGCCAGAGACCAAGATGCTTTTCTTCCAATAAACAGTCAAGTAATTTGTGAGAAGCCTGTGTAAGTAACCCTCTGCTGGATATCCCCCGACGAACAGGCACGCACACCACGCGCACACCACACTTCCTTGGCTCTGTTCCCGTGCCCCATCAGGTCTCCAAAGAGACTGTAAGGAGTAAAGGTAACCAAGCCCAGAGCTGTTGACACAGAAAGGAGGATCCATCAGTAGCATATTTCTTTAATCATTGTTATTTACAATTTATCATCTGACAGACTTACAGAGAATAAATAAAGAAAAGAAAATATACAATTGGTATCTTGTTTCTTTTTCTAATACAGAGAACTTTTATGTATTCTATTTTGGAATGACTATGATAGTTTTAAGCAGAGATCAATTGGTTTGCTCTTTACCCCTTGACAAGACACATCATCCTCCAAAGCCTACAAAACGAGGCCCAGATATTCCCTCCTCATAAGAAGAGTGAGCCTTGTTGGTTCAGAAACTCAATCCTCAGAAAAAGTTAGCAGACAACAGGGTAGAAGAACAGGATATCATGAGTAGTAAGGGACATAAAGTGAATAGGCTAGGTTACAAACTCTTGGGTTTGTTTACAGGAATCCTACCCAATTCCAACTATTTCTAAGCCTCTTTTCAAGAAAACAGGTGATTGCCTTATCGCATTGTGCTTTCCCTTGAGTCTCTTTGCAAATTCTTCCCTCACATGCTTTTGTGAATATGGGTAAGCACAGGCTAGCTGGGGACTTTGATCCTTCTCCTTTAGAGGTTCTTGACAGGCGTCTGCTGGAGAAACCAGAAAGCTTGTTTCAAATAGGCTGGGCTTGGGGCCAGAGTCCCTCCCTGCTCTTGTTGGGGTATCTTGTAGAGAAAGAACTGCCTTGCACTGCTCTCTAACTACCCCAAAGAATGAGGTATCTCCACAGATCTATTTCATCCTTAGAAAACATACAAATGG